ACGCGAAATGTGAAATTGTTCCACACCTCTTTCCTCTTGTTTCGTCTCTGCCCCCCCTGCAGCCGTTTCTGTGTCAACGGATGACGCTAACAGCGTTGAAATCTGTCTGTTAGCTTTGCCCTTTTATTTTGTTACACATGTTCTATCTGCTACGTGCAGCGATATGACACCATAAAACTACAATTTGAAGCTGAAACTCGTATAAATGATATTTATGAACTCAGTCCGTACCGCGAAGAAAACACGACACTTCACCATTACAAAGACCAACTGGTCACATCTAAAAAATAGTATTTAAGAATTCGGCCCGTACCGCGAAGAAAACACAACACTTCACCGTTACAAAGACCAACTGGTCACATCTAAAAAATAGTATTTAAGAATTCGGCCCGTACCGCGAAGAAAACACAACACTTCACCGTTACAAAGACCAACTGGTCACATCTAAAAAATAGTATTTAAGAATTCGGCCCGTACCGCGAAGAAAACACAACACTTCACCGTTACAAAGACCAACTGGTCACATCTAAAAAATAGTATTTAAGAATTCAGTCCGTACCGCGAAGAAAACACAACTCTTCACCATTACAAAGATCAACTGGTAAACGCTGTTTAAGTAAATAATCGATGTTTACAGTGAGAATAATACGAAATCCATGAATTCAACTGTAGACTTATTGATTATTGAAGCAGGTGGGACATATATTTGCCATTGGGCTTTAATGGGTTAATGTATATTTGAAGAGTCCTCTTTTCGAAGCCTTGAAGGCCATTATTCTACCCCTGTATCTCGTACAGCACGTGGGAGACATGGCACGTGTCAAGGTATGAACGCCCCTGGAGGTAGACAATAGTTTTATTGAAAGACGCAGAAGCTGCAGTTACCTCCTTAACGTCAGTAACCACCTACAAGGCTGTACGATCTCTGCCGCCACCATCTGCTGGCTATAAAAGATTTACATTGAAGATTCGTTCTACAAAATTAAAATAATCATGTCTGAATTGTACTTCCTCTCTGGGATATTTTGAGACCGGATATCCTGAGCGATATTTGTCGTGCTTTAACTCAGGCACTCCAGTCAAATTCCAATATGACTCTTACCACTGTGATAACCTCGTCCTACAAATTTTGTCTCAGTAAAGTCAGTAGGAGTTGAGGTTCACCCGATGGTCAGTCTGCAGGGCATTGTATTCTGGTAGAAGTTTTGCCAACGTTTCGGAGGTCCTTCTGCCTCCATCTTTTAGCGTTACTGTTACTCTCACCCCAGAAGTTTGTATTATCTCTATACAGTCACGTGTCATGACAGAGAATTATGAGACATCTATATTAATCGCTACGATGCCACGGACGGAAAACCTCGGTTATAAACATCGGTTTGTGCAGTTTTAAACACGCCCATTTGACAGTATTAAATAATCCTAATAGCGATTAATACCTCAAATCAAGTGCGTGACGACATCCAAACATGGCCAATTACAGTCAAGCATTGGAACGTCAGTACAAGATAAAATAACACATAATTACGTAGCTTATACAGCGTCGTTTAATGACATACATCCACCCTTTGTTTGTCACACATTCCGGTTCACAGTATCGTGTCACTGCTCGCGTTATTTAATTGATACAGCGTCGTTATATAACCGAAGAGTCTACATGTTCCTTCGTAGGAAACTGGACTCGGCCTGCCGTGGGTTTTGACAGAAAATTTCCCTGTGAAAATACCGTCGAATTTCCTTTCATCTGATGTCGACTTCTGGTATCTGTAGATCTTAACCTCCATGCCCCCCCTCCACATACTAAAGTTCATGGCGCGAAGAAAAGGTGTAATCATATGTCGGTCTGTTTCATTTTAACCGTTTCCGTGCTATGCACGAAATATCTCGCTTAGAAACACTGGTCATTAAAGCTTTGGGTTTGTAACCTTTGAGAAGACCAATGCCGCCAACTCTCAAGAGTTAAAGCTGGATTTTCAGCCGTGGAAAAATGCTAATAAAAAAAAAGTTTTCTCGAAATAAAAATCAGCATCAAAAGGTTTAACAGAATTAAGTTCGTGTAGCGGCTGACTTAACACGGTTTTGCGGGCAAAGCTGAACCAAAAAGTTCTCTTTGTATGCTCGCTTCTAAGAAACCTCAAGGCTAAGCGACTGTAAATTCCAGAGTAAGAAATAAAATGGTATTTACTTTGAACCAATCTTTTGCCATCCATTTCCAGTTCTGAACTTGCGTTATAATTTTCTTGCAAAATACAGTCTCTACTTCCTAATCTAATGAATTGTGGGACTAGTCTTTTTTTAAAAAAAAGTAGTGGAACCACGGTTCCGGAGAATTTGACGTAAATACGTCTATACGGAAAGGAAGTTTATATATTGGCATTATTCTAAATATTTCCTTTATACATCCTTTACAATCGAGATAAGTTTGATTAAGATATTGCTTATTTAACTTGAATTAGTTACGCTTAAGATGGGTCTGTGGTAGCTGAATGTAATGTAATGTAATGTATTTTAATGTAATGTAATATTTTATAGGTAACAACAATTCCGAGTAAACACGACGTTCCCTAGGTAACCAGGTTACACTTTTTCGTTCCACTTTCTTGCCGAATGACCCTTCCTCATAGACGTATTTACGTCAAAAAAAATATGACGCATTGAGAGTTATGGTAGAAGTATTTATAGAATTTTCGCCTGGAAAACTCAGGCGTAAACGGGAAGTTAATACTAAAATAGATTTCAAAGTCTGTGGTGTTTTATATGAGCCGACGTACCTCAGTCTCGGGGGCAAAGCCCGGCCGGGGCGTGAAGCTGGCCACTCAACCCCCATCTAGTGCCGAGGTTAAGAATTAGTAGGAGATATACCGCCTCTCCCCCCAAGCGCGTAAATGGCGTATAGTGTGTTTTTTGTGTTCGGTTGACTGCTATTCGCTTTACTATGATGACTCAGTCGCATTGTGTCAGTTGGGGATGAATTTTGTAAACGAAAATGTTATTTAGACCAGTGGTATTGATTGAAGAGAAATTATATCTGGGGGTACGCGAAGACATCTTAGGGGGCACGTGAAATTTAAAAAAAATATATATATATTATTTTATGATAAACATTGAATAATCAGTAATGTAATTTATTTAATTTATTTTAGATATAGATTATATACTACGTATAACTTGAATTATACACCAACAACTTTGGGGGTACAAAGTTGAAGAGAAATTGTATCTGGGGGTACGCGAACAAAAAAGGTGAACATATTAAATATTCTGAAGCCAGATGCGTGTGCATTACATTTATAGATTGGGTGGAGAGTCTTAGAGCTGACGTCATGCAACTGGAGATGATCAAATCTGTTGCAGCTTCCTGTTTGTATCTCCTGTCAGTTTCACCACAGGTTGCCAACCTCTGCTCCAATTGAACATAAAAGCTTGAGAACGTCATCTCAGATTCCACTGTCTCCGAGCCCTTCTGACATAATCAGGAAATCCTGGTTGACGCACGCGTAAGGGAAATGACCCAGATTCATTTCCTTTCCGATACCCTCTTCACATGACTGTCTCTCTCTCTCTCCTGTATCGGTTTCGATCAATCGATTTCCATCAAATTTGGTATCAACGTCATGTCGTTAGACACGTAACGATATGAAAAAGATTTCAGTTTCTCTTCATAAATACCAGGACGTGACATTTATATTAAGTTTAGTCCCTTCAAGTTTTTAATGTAATTCGGGATTTATAAACGTTTTCTGATCTGCTGGCACATTTATCGATTGTTGTCGACACATTTATCGATTGTTGTCGACACATTTATCGATTGTTGTCGATTTGATAATCAGTTTGTAAGCTACGAGTGATTGACACATCGTACCATTTATTAAGTTCTACTAAATTACCATCGTAAATACATCAACATAACCTCTTTCTCAACAGTTTTCTGTTACAAATTTATTTACTCGTGTAAGTATGTGATTTAGACCTTAATATATTTTAACGAAAATCATGTTAAATTGAGTGATTTGGTTAGTGGATGTTTCAAGAGTAAGCAAATCCTTTCTCGTCTCTTGCGATCTGATTTGTTCCATTGTTGGAAAATTCACATTGGATTACGTCGCACGTCAATCACCCGAAGTGCATGACGGGTAAATGGAACGCTCCCAAAAGCATTCAGGTTCAGGCTCTTAGTGCAATTGAACGCGACGTAATCCAACGTAATTTAAGACTGGCGGCGTATTGATACAATTTTCTAGAACGTCATAGCAGACTATAAATAACTTTTTGTAATGGATCGGTGAAGATTTATAATCGTTTAAAGCCCAGTGTACCACATGGTTTAATAATGAATAATTCAATTTTTCTTACAGTGGATTTACGAATTACGATTATTTCCGCAAACATTGTTAACCAGTCGATTGTTGTCATGGAGACGAGTTGTGTTTTCTCTGAGGTACGGACTGAATATTGTTAACTTCAAATATAAACAAATATTTGGGCTTGGTTGATTCTCTTATTAAAATGTTTCGTGGTGGTGTCTTTATAAATGCTGTGTTCTCTCAACATTTAATGTTTCCCAATCAAATACACATGATTTACGAGTTATCCCAACGTGATACCCTGCCCTTATATATTTAATCATTAACGTTTAGAGAATCATTATATATTTCCGTTTATAACAACGTCCTGTGCAGGTACAAAGTGGAACCACGTCTCTGCCCTGGCACGACGCCATGAAGGGGTGTATGAGGGCGTGTAGGTAAATCTCCACCCGTTTTAAGTCTCCATCTCAGCAGTAGATGGCAGTGACAGTTGGACTACACTCTCAGACCGATCGTCGTATTTGAGAGACCCTGAGACCTGCTATCTCAACCGAGGTCCTTCGTAGTTTTCCTCAGTCATTCCAGGCAAATTCCCGTTTAGTGCCTTAAAACAGGCCACGACGGTTCCTGCTCTATGTTTCCCGTTTTATTATTAATTAATATATATTAAGTATATATATTAAATTTTGTCCGTCTAATCACAATAATTCTTATTAAATATTAAAATATTACAATAATTAACATTTAAAATATTTAAAATATTAAATGATGTTCTTTATCGAAATATTCGATTTACATTAGACCATCATTTTTCATGTTTCACGACATGTTTCAGTTCCTAAAAGAACCATCCTCAGGTGTATATAATTATATAAAGCTTCAAAACGATAAATAATTCAAATACAATTTTCATACATTATGATAGCGTACATTTTTATCAGATTTTTACCAGATATCAAACGATGTTCTTTTTGAGATTTTTATTCCATTTTTAATTCCATTTTTAATAATGTTTCTGTTGTTTGATTAAGTCCCTTCGCAAAAATATTGTCAATTCGGGAAGGGTTAGAGTGGCTGGGCGTGTACCACGCGTAGCAGAAATGACACGCGCCTACAGATTTTTTCCCCCAGACAACGTCAAGGAAAGAGACAGCTTGGAAGACCAAGACGTAGATGTGAGGATATCCCGACATCTCAATTAAATAATGTGTGAGTGTGTGGGGTGGACTGAACTGGCTGACGAGTGGCGGGCTCTTGTGAGCGCTTTGAGAATCTTCGAGTTCCCCATTAAAGTCGAGAAATTTATTTGACTAGCTGAGCGACTGTTAGCTTCTCAAGCGGTAGGTCTTCATGTGTCTTTGTTCGTCGTGAGCTTGGATCGTGGTGTTTTTTACCACTCGTACGATACTTTATATTCAAGAGGTCCCACGTTCCGTTCTCTGCTTACTGTACTCTATTCTGACGGCATTGTTTTGTAATTTTCTCCATTCCCTCTCTCCACGCAGATGCCGGGATAGAATCTCAGTGTACGTCACTGCCGATTCCTTGCATAATTTGTATCCATCAGTTCATTCGACTCTGTACCCTTTTAAAACCTCTTGGGATATTCCTGTACATTTTAAGTCATCAACGGGGAAGACAGATATTCAGAAGTCATTAAATTTCGTCTCTTATTCATCATAATAATCCTTTTATCTCCTCGTTCTTTGGTTCCTTCCTCTCTACTGTGCGTTATGTCAGTATCGATATGTATCGAAAAAAAAGATATTCGATGTTTGACTCGAATTCTGAAACTTCTGAAGTCCAGAAAACTTGCAGAATCAGCTACAGGCCGTGTTCTGTATTTGAGACATTTTCCATTGTGACGAGACGAGACGAGACGAGACGAGACGATACGAGACGATACGAGACTGTTTGTTCTGTAAACCAGGATCAAATACGGAAACTTGTTGGGGCTGTGGAGTTCATATCACGTGCGATCGATCGATCAGACCGACAAGTACAGGAGTCTTGCGGGTACAGAGACTTGCAGGGGGGGCCAATAGCAGTCTGGATACCGTGATGTAAGACCACAAAGGTTAGTTAGTTAGTTAGTTAGTTAGTTAGTTGCTGGTCGTCAGTTGTAAAGGGCTTCGTGGAATAATATTTATTATTGTTTGTTTGGTACTTCTGATTTTCCAATCGTTATTGGCGGGAAACTTACTAAAAGTTATAATAGAGGCCTTGTGCAACATTTAGAATCACATTACTTATTATTCTTCTTCTTCCTATTCAGCTATTACCTATTTTACCGCCTGTACTCTTAAAATTCATAGATGATTCTCCCAGTTCATATCTTTTAGATATTTGGTAGGACTCCTTATATGGGGAATCGGCTTAAGAGTAGATGTGTTTCCTGAAACGTCGGCTTCTTATTTTAACTAGTTAACGCGGCTGATCGCCCGAGAAGATTTTATCGAGTTACATCGCAGCGAAAGCTTCAAATCATTTTTACCGAGAATAATTTATTTTTGTATTTTTACCATTTTTTATACGACGCTCAGTTTGGCGGGGGGGGAACCCCCCCCCCAAAAAAAAAGTTGTTTTAATGTTTTCGACACCCCTGTATGTACGAAATTGAAAGAAAAATCGATGATTTGACCGGTGTTCTGTCTCCAAGAAAAACGCATTTTTGGTCCTGCTATTGTATTACGACACGTAGTTTGAGGGGGGACGTGGTGGGACGGACGGACTGACGGACAGAGGCAGGCGTCGTCGCCTACAGCATTTGATCTGCTTCCCCGAGGACTGGCGCGAAACCTTTAACCATAAAAGACATGTCACATTTTCACCACGTTGGACGGATTGCTCTTTTATAATGAACGATGTCTGCGGCCTGCAGGTAAACCAGGTAACAGGCCACAGCTCTGACGCCTGTAATTTACCTCCAGGTGTTGGGCGTGGCCTATTAAGTATGCCTGCTTACTTACTTCCATGTGGAGAGAAACGTTACGAGCTGAAACAGACTTGGCGCCCGAGACAGAGAATGAGAAAAGGCAGACGAAAGATTCTGATAAAAGACTGAGAAGGAGGACTGGCAACGAAGATGAGGAAATCAGAAGAAGATGTTGAATCAGTCAATAGCACATAACCTATTTCAACTCGAAGAGTTAAATACTTTTATGTTGAACTGTACCTCATATGTATATGTAAATAGTAGACAAGTGTTTGTTGACTGGCGATCATTTAAAGAAAAACACGATTTGCACTGTAAATTAAAGTTGCCATGGAAATGCTGTTGGGGGGGGGGGGGACTTTTAAAAAGCATGGAAATTTCAGACAGCTAACTTTAGATTTTGCTATTATTCTTGACGGGGAAAATTTCCTTGCTTAATAACAAAGAGAAATTGTACGCAATCGTGGGTTTAATATTCTACACTGTAGTTAGTCAGTGACCTTTTCCTGTTTTTTTTTTTTTTTTACAATCCTTTGTGTGACGGTGATTTAAAAGTTTCACAGTTCACGGAAGTATTTAAGAATTCACAATAAACTTAATTTTCGTTAATAAACATTTACGTGATGTGACAATGGCGATATGTTCTTTTTAAAAATATTTTTGGCGGGGTTTCTCTCGCGCGTCGCTTTGGCGGTGTTTTGAGTCACAGATTTTCTAACTGTTGTGCTGTTGGAAGTCGAGACTCGCCACTAAGGTTACCGTCTGTTGAGCACGTTGCCTGGTGGCTGTCGCGCGAACCTATGTGGCAGGACTGGTTTTTGACGGAGTTAGCTTCCTCGCCTACGGACCATTCAGCAGAAGTGCTGTGACGAGGTGTGATGTATTCTTGTTCTGCTGCACAAAGCATACGATCGAACGGGGAAAATTAAACATTAATATAGCGAACAGTTATTTCAGACAGCAAATATTATAGTCATATTTATGAACTTTCTTATCGATAAGTGTGAACTTCCGTATATCGTTCCTGATTATATCGATAGTAATGTATCTAAATAAATGAGCATCGACGTAATCGAGGCGAAGTTACAGGAAGTTTGTGAACGTTTAGAAGTTGATTGTTGGTGTTTCTACGTTTGCTGTGTGTTTGTAAAGTGACAAAATACAGATACGGTTTAATCCCAGACAACTTTATTTAAAGTTATCACGTAATTTTAATGCCCGTGAACGACATTGTAGTGTTCATTGTAGTGACTTGAAAGTTGTTAATAAGCATCGTGTATAACCAGTGAGTGTGTTTGTTGGTGTTCTTACTGAAAGACCGACGTTTTTGTAATAATTTCTGCCGGAAAGTGCTTCAGTAGGGATTTTATAAACATGTGATGCATTTTAATGGCTTCTGTCCATTAGGCAAATGTACAATCATTTACGTTCGCGTTTGAAATTGTGAATACGATTTACATTGGCTTCAGGAAGAAAAATGGAATTCGGACAATATTTTAGCGTCTTCTGTATCATCCTGATGTTGAATTTCGGTAAGTGTTGAATTTATACTGGTGTAATAACCAAGAGTGTGATTTTTCTGCATGTTGAAATGTGGTGGTAGATACTGATTAATTACTCCAGTGGTCCAATTCCAATGTTAGAACCGTCGATGTCAACGTGAAATTATTTTAAGTTTTAGGGAACAAAAACAAGTTATTCGAAGCATGCGACGTATTTAAACTCTGAATTTTCTCATTTATAATTTAACTTTGTAAATATATAAAGATCTGAACGAATGTAATGAATTAAGCACGAAGATATTAGCAGACAGTTTTGATTTTGTAGTGTGATTTTAGGAACCCTCAGGTATTCAAATAATTTTCCGATTAAGCATTCGAAATTTGAATTCCCATGTCAATTATAATATACCTGTTGAAATAAAAATATCTCTAGAGGGAATCACAAATATATAAATACGTTTTATTCATTTGTGACTTATTTAACGACGCTGATAGTAGCTTAAACTTTTCTGCTTTGATATAGGCCTAAGTAATACGTATAAAGCTTAATCGACGTTTAAAAATTTACATTTTCCGGCATTGAAGATGTGTGAGGGATACGTTCCTGGTCTATTCAGTTAGAATGTTTGCCACTTTTAAACCCAGTGGTAACTATATATACCGTTTGATTTAATAAAAGAATTTTACAACAGTGCGTGTAAAATGAACACAGTCTAAGATGGCTGTCTTCTGTCGCACTGTTAATGCATTCAGTAAGATCACCTGAAACGTTGCCAACTCTACCGTACTACGTGATGAAATATCCCAGAAGACAGCCATCTTAATATACCTCGCCGCGAGATTCTCAAATCATAGTTGATCTAATTTCAAAAGTCTGCTTTATGAAGTCTGTCTTTGCTGCAGACGTTGGAATGTAATATGTTTGAATTTAATTATGGCTGGAGCCAAGCAAAGTAATTCCTAGATAATTAAACCGTTTATCGTTTCTCACAACAAATGTGAATGTCACAATTTCTGTTGTAGAGGAATTCCGCGATTTTTCTGGCCAGCACATTATGAATTTTAATTAGATTTTTAAATTTTCCTCGTGAGTTAACGCCACAGAAATCAGTTTACGTAAGCTCGTGGCTTGTGAGTTAGTTT